TACGATTCGCTTGCATAAATAAAATTAATAATTTAATTATGAATATATACAATTAAAATGATTCAATCGATAAGATATAAAACGTGTATGTCCGATATTTGACTGACAAAAACTTCTTACTTTTCCTAATGGAAAGTATATTGCTAAAACACGTCTACAATTCAAGAAATTCACTGCGCATTTGCAACGACCTCACCCGCAAGGTTTTGCGAACTGAAGATTTTTCGCGTAACACGGGGCTTCAATAGAGCGAAAAATAAGATCTTTTCACAAATTACGGAAGAATAAAATAGCTGATTATGTTTCACACTTTGCCAATGTTTATGGAAGTACGTTTTTTATTTATTTAAATTACATTGTTACGAAAATAAAAATAATTGATTACAGCTTACGGAATCACCCTTTCCCTATCCTCTAGAGAATCCTCGGTTACTCTACCATAAATAATAATGGTGCGTGGTGGCGCTGTTCTGTTCAATTTGTTTGGCAGGGCGCCATCTGTGGCCAATATGTGAACTAGAGATGCATATTAAATGAAGGTAAGAAGCTTTAGTAAGGATTTTCACATTACTATGGCGTGGCGGATACTCCCACGTTTTCTTATTTCCGTGGATAGTGTAAAGTGGACACGCATGAATGTTATGTATACGTTTTGAGAATTCTACACCCGGTTCTATACAGATCAACTGCCCAAACCGGAAGTTACCATTCAAGATAATATATATCAGTAAATCTATCATGTTATAAACAACTACAAGTAAGTCGACTTAATGTAGAATGGTATACACTCAGAAGATACTTCACACGTCATCGACCCAGTTCACTGACAGCGGTAACGTGAAAGTGTACTGTAGTAGACATTACTGTCAACATATCTGGGTCAATGCGGACAGCAACGTGTGTGTGAAAAGGACATTGACGAGAAACAGAATATTTGGCTCTATATATGGTAGGCATATGTTACAATGAAACTCTTGATACTACGGATTTTGTTTGGGATTGGTATATTTGCGGGTACATTGCTGTTCGGTTTACTGCCGCTGAAGATCATTCGTAAACAAGATGACGACATCAAACCCGGAAGTATCAGATCGCACAGAATTATGGCTCTCCTTAACTGTTTTTCCGGAGGTGTATTTTTAGGAACATGCTTTCTTGCTCTGTTACCGGCCGCCAGGATGAAATTAACTGATCTCCTTGGGCAGGAAGGGGTTACTTTATCATATCCGGTGAGTGAAGTATTTCTAATGATTGGATTCATATTCATTTTAATGGTTGAACAAGTGGTACTGACATGTCAAAAGCGTGATTGCTGTATGCCGAGTTTCAGGGAGAATACTTTAGAGCTGGCCATGGTTAACATGGGGAGTCCTGAAGCTATGCGAAGACTGGTGGACGACTCAAGTGAATCTGAAGATATGAAAGAACTAGGTGATAGTCATCAGACTATAAATAGGAAACCAAACCACAAGATGAATGGTGGACGTCATCACCATGACAACAAAGAATTAGGACATACTCATCTAGATTTAGATAACACTGGTCCTATGAGAGCAATCATTTTGCTACTTGCACTTTCTGTACATTCACTACTGGAGGGTATGGCATTCGGCCTGCAAGAAGACACACCTCGTATCATTAATCTATTTATAGCAATTATAATTCATGAAAGTTTAGCATCTCTTGCATTTGGTGTCAGCCTTGTTCGTACTCCTCGATCAACTCGTGCAGTATTTTTCTTTGTGCTATTGTTTTGTATCATGTTACCTGTCGGTATTGGTATTGGAATCACTATTGAAACTGCACCAGGTTTAACTGCACAGTTTATTTCCGCTTTTTTGCAAAGCTTTGCTGCTGGAACATTTGTCTATGTTAGTTTTTTTGAAATCTTAATGCACGAATTTGAACCTGATTCAGATAGAATTTTGAAAGTGATATTTTTAATTGTAGGAGTTAGTACAATAGCAGCATTGCAGCTGATGGACTGATTTTAAATGAAGTTCCTTCCCTTTAATACAGAAATAAACATGATCAGAATTATTTATTACAGATTTTTAATTCAAATTGAACCAGAGAAGAATGGTAATTGTGAAATATACATGATTATTTCCTATTAATTTATGAACCTTAAATGCTATACATTGTTTTTCATTATTTTATTGAATTTGCGTTTTTTTTCAAAATCTACTCTATTTCTGTGATTACAATAGTGTTTCCTAATCTTAATTCAAGGGAATCTCAGTTAGGGTTTTAGTCAGAATGAAAGTTAACCTTTGAGCATAAAATATTTTTTTTTAGATCCACTGTCGACTTTGTTAAGTGGAAGCTATCATATGATTGATTGTTTCTGGTGTCCGCGTCAACTTTTTATTTTTTCACAATTGCTTTGAAAAAGTACAAGTCTGATTGCTTGGGTACTTGGTGTATATGCACCTTGGGTAGACCTCTCTTAAATTTGTTCATTTGGTGAGGATATCTTTAATTCTCCAGTTTTGGTGAATATTTTTGTCTTCTTTGGTAAAAAGTAATATTTTTGACTACTTGTTAAAAAACGCAAGTCTGATTGCTTTGATAATATGCATATAAGTACTACAGGTGGACTTCTCTCAGATTTCTTCATTTTGTGATGATATATTCAATTCTCTAATTTAGATGAATATTTTTGTCATTTTGTTAAAAAGTGATATTTTTGACTTTTTGTTAAAAAACGCAAGTCCGATTGCTTTGATATTACATATCTAGGTACTACATATGAACCTCTCTCAGATTTGTGCATTTCGTGATGATATCTTTAATTCTCTAATTTTGATGAATATTTTTGTCATTTTTGGTAAAAAGTGATATTTTCGACTTCTTGTTAAAAA